CCGTGGCTGGCAGGCGGCTGGGGCTGCTGCCATGGCGGCAGGGTGCCAGTGCCAGGGCTGGAGGTAGTGGTGGTATCTGCAGGGAGGTGGGGACAATTGCATGGACTATAATCAAAAAGTTCACATTCTCACCTTATACTGCAACATACACACTAGAAATCACTTGTGTAAACTGTGGTTTCGTAGATGATCAGCACCCTTCATACACATGTTGACAATCCATAGCTGTGATTGATTGCAAAATGTCTTTCAATTAGATCACCTACTGCATGACCATAGGAAAATGTAGGATTGAAATGTCATCAAACCACATTAACTCCTAGAAGATCCCAAAAGTCCAATGTCTCCATATGCACCGTCATCTGATTTAAGCAAAGGACTGCGGGATTTTCACATGTTCAAACACACAAACGACAATTCTTCATTACCATAACCAGGTATAAAAGAACCAGCTGTCCTGCAACTTGATGACCAATGTGCAGTTAATTAGATTCTTAATAAACTTTCCTGTTAAAACAGTCTACGGTCTTCTGACTGTAACAGTGTTTCATACTTAGTCTGAGCAACACTTTACACAGAATGTCCGTGCAGATTCTCAGTCATCCAGGTCATAGTAAGCTAAAAAAAACAAACTGAAAATCAACCGGACTAGGTTTTTAGGTCAAAGACGTTTCACCTCTCATCCAAGAGGCTTCATCAGTTCAGAACTGAGTTTTTTCAACAAACATCAGAAATTGTTCACATTCACTATGTAGGTGTTTTGCCTTTTTGTGGAGATGTCACAATGCAATGTACAAAGTAAAAAATTAAAAAAATAAAAGGCCTTAGTGGTGGTGCCTTCACCATCTGACACACCTCCACAGAACACTGTAGTGCATAGTTATCAGTGAATGGTTTAGTATAAAGACTTTGTGTGTTCTTACTTTGTTGCCAGGGCAGCGGTGTACTGGTTGCCATGCTGCTGGTTGGAGGGGGTGGTGGAGCCTGCTGTTGCCAAGGTGGCAGGGGACCAGAAGGGGGTGGGGGTGGCTGGTTGCCAGGGGGAGGAGGTGGAGGTGGCATCATACCCATCGGAGGTGGCAGCAGACCTAGAAGAGGAAACCTAAAGTCAAACATTTTCTTCCACATTTAGTTGATGATAGAGCAGGCCCCCAACAAAGGCACAAGTCTGTTGCGTTGTTGGTTTGAATATTATCATTTATAACACCAAACTGTAAAGCATTTCAGTGTGGGGGTCTCACACCCACACTTTCATAATTTTTTGCATAATGTTTTAAAATGCATTAAATACAGTAAGATTATGCTGATTCTTCTTGCTGTGGTTTTGCTGTCCATCTGGCCTGTTGCTTCTGCACTAGCTGGCTCTCCCACGCCAGCATGTTGGCTGCTACTCTCCTAATCACACTGGTCTGCCTGTTCAGCTCTCCCAAGTATGTGTTTTCTTATGGTTTTAACATTATCTTTTTCACTCATACCTCTGGTCCACACGGTCTTTGTGCCTCATCAGGATGAGTCCTTTTGAGTCTAGGAAAATATTTTCAGTAGACTATTCCTCTGGACTGAGGGAGTAAACATTCTGCATTAGTGTTTAAGAATTAACATTATGCACTTGCACGAGCAGTTGATCCATGTTGTGCCAACCTTGACAACAGCTGCATTCCAACATTAGCTTAGCTAGCCTTACTAGCTTGCTAATAAAAGAATTGGACCGGCGCGTTTAACAGTGCTGTGTTAAAAACAGACAGAGGAGAGGGAGGCCATTTACAGATGGTCTGTTGTCACTGTGTATAAGTGTGTGTGTGTGTGTGTCTGTGAGAGAGAGAGAGAGAGAGAGAGAGGGTGAGTGCTAAGCAAAACAACCGTTTTCCAGTTATTAGATTGCAGATAACACCACTCTCTCAAACAGATAAAAAAAAAAGGCTATAATAAAATAGGTGGCCAAATATACTTGGGAGACTGTTAATATACCTGGGTGGCCTCCCCAAGTAAAGTCTGTGTGGGAAACACTGCATTAGAGAAAAATATACAATGAAACAGTTTTCATTAAAAGTGTTGCTCTTTTGTGGCATTTCAAGATGTTTCCAGGATTTCAAGGAATGGTGGTGTCTCACTAGTAAAACCTGTTCCTTCCACTTAAAATACAATCTCTGGTAT